CCCAAATGCCTGCAGTCTGATTCTGACCAGACAATCACTGTCAATAGTAATCCCACACCTCTTGTGGCTATGTATGCAGCAGAAAGAAGTGTGTGTGTGTGTTAGTTTGGCACAGAACTTATTTCAAGTCAATAAAACAATGGCATATTGTGATGAAGATATCTACAAGAGGTGTAGCAAAAGCAATTTTTAGGAGGCCTTGGTTATATAATAGAATCGAGCTATACTACTACATGATTATAAACTCTCAAAACCATAAAAGAATCTACAAGAAATGAGTTGAAAAAGCAGAGCAAGAAGCATAGTTTGGGCTCAGTATGATAAAATTAGCCTAGCAGTAAAATCTAATAAGAAACCTCGAAACACATATAGAATGAAACCCTTAGGAGCAGATCAGACTACCACAGTGGCCACGACAGAAAAGCAAGTGCATCATCCACCATAAGTGAAGATGAATCAGACAGAAGCATCAAAACAAAAGGACACAAAACAAAAACCTCTGCTTTGTGATTCTTCTTCTTCAGGGCTTCCTTAAAGAGCATTCCGAATCATCAAATGAAGATGAATTCACCATAAACGAAGATGAATCAAACTGAAGCATCAAAACAAAAGGACACAAAATAAAAAGAGATGCAAAAAAATACCTCTGTTTTGCTATTCTTCTTCTTCTTCTTCAGGGCTTCCTTAGAGAGCGTTCTGAATCATCAAATGAAGATGAATCGAACTAAAGCATCAAAACAAAAGGACACAAAACAAAAATAGATGCAAAAGAATGCCCTTGCTTCGCAATTCTTCTTCTTCGGGGCTTCCTTATAGAGAGTTCCGAATCACCAAGTGAAGATGAATCCACCGTAAATGAAGATGAATCAGACTGAAGCATCAAAACAAAAGGACACAAAACAAAAACAGATGCAAAAGAATACCTCTGCTTTGCGATTCTTCCTCTTCGGGGCTTCCTTAGAGAGCATTCTGAATCCCCAAATGAAGATGAATCCAGCAGAAACGAAGATGAATCCGACTGAAGCATCAAAATAAAAGGACACAAAACAAAAGCATACGCAAAAGAAATTCTTCAGGGCTTCCTTAAAGAGCGTTACTTTGGAATCATCAAACAGTTATCTCTTCGTTTCTGGGGTTAAATAGAATGAACAGAGTTTAATGGAAATAGTAGCCGTTGGAAATAAAATCTGGAAAATTTTTTTGAACATTATTACCGGAATCATTTTCCAAAAACATATCACAGAAAAATAAAAAATAATTAATTTCTAAAATAAATTATAGCCGTTGGCCAAAAAACTTTGAATTATAGCCGTTGAAGGCAGATTGGCATATCACATGCGGCAATTAATGATGGCTGTCGAAAATATTAGCAGACGAAAATAAAATCGAGAAAAGATTTATAATATTATATCCGCAATTATTTTCCAAAATCATATAAAAAATATAATCAATTTTATAAAACGAATTATGGCCGTTGATCGAAAATATGAATGATAACCGTTGAAAGCAAATTTGCATATCACATGCAGCAATTAATAATAGATGGCCGTGGAAAATATTAGCCGTTAAAAATAAAATCTAGAAAAACACATAAAATGAATACCCTGCATTCGTGACTTAAAAAAAAAAAAGATAACAGGTAAAATATATTTCATTGCCCCAAACGGGTGGATTAAATTTGGGATCTTTATTGTCAGCGCCTCAAACAAGTAAATTTGCTCCCAAAAATTTTTTTGGGTACCAGCACTCTTGAGTAAAAATTTCTGAAATAAATTTGCATCTTGACCCTTGAATTATTTCAAACCAACAAACTGTAAAAATTGAATTTTCTAAATTAAAGTTTGGAAATTAAATCAATAATTAAGAAAAATGTAGGCACAAACTGTTATATTTTCTCTAATACTAGTTTCAAAAGCTATGCTCCGTCATAATAATCAAATATGCATTAATTGTATTTTTTGAGTGTAAATATTATTGTAATAAGAACAAGGCTATTTTACAAATAGTTTTATAGCCTAATGACATATAAATTCTTTTGTAAATGGAAAGTAATGGTTTTAATTTTTTTAAAAAAAACTAGGCTGCCATAAGCCCATGTTTCATGTAAAAATTTTAGGATTCAATTTATTTAGATTTTTTAATGCTCAAAACAAAAACAAACTAGATAGAACAAAATAGTTTAGAGAAATGGACGAAATTGGGAGAAAAAAAAAAAAAGCAACCAAAATAACTGAACCAAATAGGCTAAATTTTGGCCGTGCATTGTCTAATATGTGAACCTATCCATTTTTTCTCCAGCACTAAATATTCAGATAATGTGCAAATTTGTCTTAAAAATATACGGTCAAAAGTTTTGAGTGTCCGAAAGTTTTTTAAGTCTCAATATTATCTTGAAAGTTATAAAAACATAGCAATGTTGTCTTAAGTGTTATCCCAGTTAATTTAAACTTTGATCAAATTGCTCATGTGGCATGCCGCCTCATCATTTCTCCCTTTCTTCCTTCCAGGTCACCCTCCACATGGCATGCCACCTCATCATCTCTTCCTTCCTCATCATCTACAGAAATTTCCACGGCTTCACAATCATACTGTCTTCCTAATTATAATTATTGTCCTCGTTGGCCAAAAACCGTTTTTATCATGCCTTTGTCTTTGTTCAAGTTCTTCCCTGGGTCTTTTATTTTTCTCATTTTCCAGCATCGGAGCAATGATGAACACAAGCAAGTTCGACGTACGACAGAAATTAGGGTGGATTTTTCTGACAAATGAAGAAGGGAATTTCGCAAGATTCAAAATGGAGAACGAAGAATGGAGAAAAGAATTTGAGTGAGGCAGAAAGGGAATTAGGGTGAAATTTGATTCAGAACGGAGGAGGAAATGTTGGCACGAGTTAAGAGTTATGTGATGAAATCACTCTCGAGCAAGAAAATTTTCCAAACTATGGGGGTGTTTGGATGAAGTAAAACCATGGTTTGCAGAATAGCTTCTGGAGAATAGATTCTGGAGAGAATAGATTTTGAAAGAATAGATTTTCTGGAAAAGTGATTCTGATAAAGTGAGAGTGTTTGGATAATTATTGTTAGAAGTGCTTTTTGATATGTAGAAATTACTAAAAATGACATAAGTTTAAATGATAATTACATATAAGATATATTTCATAATATATGTTTATTTGAAGTAATAAATTTATTAATAATATATATTTTGGCAACATAATAAACATGGCATAAATAATATAAATAATAAGAAATTAGTGTGTGTATATATTAATAAAATAAATAAATATGTTTTTAGGAAAATGATTTATTTTGCTAAAGAAAATATTATTATTTGTTAAAGATTTTAAAGATGAAATCCCATAATCTTGTTTCACAAAATTAAATAACCAGACAAAAAAAATTTCATATTAATTGTCTTAATAATAGAGGTTACAACGAAATATATTTGTTCAAGTAGTTTTTTTAACAACACATTATATTATCTGAAAAGAAAAAAAAAAAAAGGACATAACTATTCTTGTATGTAGTGAACAATTTGATCTCTTATAGAGTCACGAAGTCGAGCCATGTGAGATGAAGAATCTACTGATGAAGGTATATGTGAAGATCCAACTCCATCATCATCATTTTCTTCTACATAAGAACCTTCTTGTTCAAACTCAATGAAACCAGGATCAGAAATGGATGTTGATCTAATGAAGTTATGTATGGCCATCGTTGCACAAACAATTTGAACCTGTGTTGAAAAGTCATAGCTCGGCATGTTTCCTAAAATTGCAAACTTACTCTTCCAAACTCCAAAAGTTCTTTCGATAGTGCTCCGTAGACTTGAGTGCAAATAATTGAACGCCTCATTGTCATTTTCAAGTGCAGATGACCTTCGGAAATCAGGAAGATGGTAGCATTCACGTCTGTAGGGACCAAGGTATCCCATGGGTGTCGGATAGCCAGCATCCACCAAATAATATTTGCCTACATGAAATATATGATTGGTGTCAATAAAATTTGTTTTCTAACAGTGAAGCATAAATAAATTGTAGGAATTTAAAATATACCTTGAGGCGGATGGGGAAAGTTCATGGAAGGAGTTGTGAGGGCGTGGTCAAATATACGAGCATCATGTGCACTACCTTCCCATCCGGCTAATACAAAAGTGAAGCACATGTCCCAATCGCAAACCGCCATTACATTTTGCGTCACTCTTCCTTTCCGGTTAATAAATTTTGTTTGCTCAGTTGCATCAATAATGCATGAAATATGTGTTCCATCAATTGCTCCAATAGCATGTTTGAAAAAGGGCCAGTATCGACCACCGGGCCGTATTTTTGTATGCAAATGCTGAAACATTGGATCTTTTGGTTTGATGTTGGTAATAGCAAGTCTACAGCAAGCCAGTAAGACATTATGAAAATGTCTACTAATTGTCTCTCCTGAATGCTGAAATCTTTCTTGCTGCATCCTACTACTAAGCGCATGGCCAACGGTATTTAAAAACATTGCAACCATTTCATGTATCCCAACATTTCTAGTTTCTCTTAGACCGTGTTCTTGCAATTCTGTGCAAAGACTAAAGAACACTTCCCTTTCCATCCTAAACATGTTATAACAACGATTGGAATGGTCTTGTAAAACGTCCCTTACCCATACCTTGTCTGTATAAATACTTGTATGCTGGGGCTCTTTACACAAATGACGAGAAGCATATCCACCAACCGCTACTGCAACTTGATTAACCCGTTTGTTCCATCGTTTACGATACTTTTCCGCAATTTTAATTTCATCAGCCATTTTTTGTCTTGTCCTGTGCACATAGACATAAAATTCAGAAACCCTGATATGAAATTACTTAACATTTAACAAGAAAATAAGTTGTTTAATTCCTACAGAAATTAAGTTGTCACATAATACATAAAAATAGATACAAATGATCACAGTCATCTTAGTCACATAAAAATAGATACAAATTATCACAGTCATCTTCTAAGCAACATAAATGAAGTCTCAATCCTTAGTTGCATGCTTCAAGAAGATCAGTAGTTTTTTCCTCTTGTTCTTTAGAGCCACATACATCTCCCTTGCAGCTGGCTTATCCATAAGAAGTGTTGTGCACCGGCCAAACAGATCAGGATCATCAACAATTTCATCAACTTCATTAAGGTGCTCCATGACTCCCGCAATTGACGTCTCATAAGCACGTGCTTCTTCTTCTAGCTTCCTAGCACGTGCTTCTGAAATCTCTTCATGTTCACGCTGAGAATCATTTTCATTTGCCTGAGCTATCCTGCTTAGTGCATCCGCTATTTTCATAGTGGTAGTAGATTTCTTCTTCATGGATTCACCCTTTTTTCTAACTCCTAATGAGCTACTAGGTCGACTGCCACCTGTGCTTCTACCCCCACGAATGGTTTCCTGTCTCATTCCAGTGTTGCCTCCACTTCCTCCACTATTGTCATTGAATGTGACTGAATTAAACTCCCCGCTTATGCCAGTTGGTGCCCCCAAAATTTCATCACTATCTCCAGATCCTTCTTCCATATCATTTTCAGGAACTCCTTCGCTTGGAAGTGTCATGGAAGAAGGTGCCCATGACTGTGGTCCAGTCGCAGCTACAGACCCAAAGAGTTGAGTCAATTCAGCCCGAAATTGAAGCCCTCTTTCTCTAAATTTCTCATAGCCTGGAACTTCCTGCGCATTCAACACAAAAATATTATACATTATACAAAAAACGTTAACATGGGAGAAAATACAAGCTCAAATAAATTAAATGATTACCACTATTTTCTTCTCCCACCAATCATCAGGGGCACAGTATTCCTTTCGGCATCCCGCCCTAAACCTGTCTCACGGAGCAGCCTATCCCATAACTGCCACTCCTTTCGCAAGGTATCATATTTGTTCTTTAATTGGATTTTCGTATAAACTCTCCCAGTCTTTGCAGTAAAGTTCTCCTCAATACTTGTCCAAGCAGGCTTTGTCAAGCTAGTTCCTCTTCTTCCCCCCTTTTCAACTTCTTCAATACACAGGTCAATAAAGACCTTTGTGGCTCTTATATCCCATGAAGCTTTGCCATTTTTTTTATTCATTATGCTATAAACAATTACAACAGTTTAGTTATCACAAGTTTAACCCAAAAAGCATACCATTCAGTCCAGGAGATATGATATAACAGGATAGTATTTAACAAGTATAGCCTGCGTGTTCTATAATCCAACAGTATACATACACATTAATAATGACTTTTTTCCCCAGTATCCAGGAGAATTCTTTTCGGTTAACTGACCCAATTTGGCTACAACCCAAATCAAAATTCCATACATGATAATTCTTTTCGGTAACTGACCCAATTCGGCTACAACCAACAATCAAAATTCCATACATATTTCGGTTAACCACTATAACATTGCAAAAGCAACCATCAAGCACAAAAAGAAAAATTCGAGTGTCCTGTCTCCAAAATAAAATCAACCAAAGGGAAAATTTGATCAACACACACGAAGCACAACCAGTCCCGAGATCTTTCCCATCGTACACACACACACACGATTACCATCAAAAAATCAGTCTCTACAAGTGAACATAGCATAGGCAACCGGTGAAACCAACTTTGATTGGAAAAGAAAGAAACGACGCTAGACGACCTCTGTTTCGGGGAAAAAAATTACGCTGGATGACCGACGTTTCGAGGAAAGAAGACGACGCTACAGGAATCTCATAATGCACCAGATCTTCCATCTCCAGCCAACCACCACAAGGAAGAAGACAGCTTACCTGAAACGTTGGATCTGACCGACGGAAGAAGATACGGCGACCAGAGCAGCTGATGACCGGACGAACTCAACACCGAATCGATCTTCTTTTGGCAAGCCCAGTAACCTCACTAGCGTCGAAATTCACGGGCTCAACGACCTCCCCGTGGCAAGAAGACCCGTCGAGCTTTCAAGGGGCGACGGCGAAAGAATGATATACGCTTGTGTTCAGTGAAAATCGACCAGAGAATGCATAACCGTAGTTCGTGGAGGTAGCTTACCGGAGTGCTCACCGACAACACAGGACCGGATCAACCGAGCTGAATGGGTGGCTTTTTTCCTTCGATTCTTCTCTTGTTCAAACAGAGCCTCGAGATCGAAACCGAGCTGAACGGAGAGGGGGCGACGGGCTTGAATCGGAGAGAAGGCCGAAGAATGGGTTGTTCCCTTCAGAATGGATCTTCACCTTGAGCTGAATGAGTACCCCCCCCCCCGCGTGCTTGTTTCCTTTCCCTCGTGAGCTGACCGTTGAAGCCAATAATTGTCCCTCCTTAGAAGCTACGCCCCGCCTGATTATCTGTAACCGAGGTTTTGTTGGGCAAAACCAAGGTTTTGCCCAAAACCTTGGTTTTAAAAAAAATGGGGGTGTTTAGCCAAACCCCCTACATCAATTTTCACTAAAAGGACGCACTTACTTAAATATTTTGTGTCCATTATTGAAAACAGACCTAGAATAATGAAATAAAAACCATTGGCCAAAATATTCTTTACTCTTTTAATTTTATATAATATTTTAATTTGATTCGTCCACTTTTAGTCTTTTAAAAGTATATTTTTAAGACTACTATTTTTAAGGTTAAAGGGTTAAAATTTTTTAATCCTTTAAAACAAGTATATTTTCAGTTTTCTAATTCTAAAATAGTTAATAAATAATAATATTGACATGGTGAATGTTGATAAACATTATCAATCCCAAATATATTAAATTTAATTTTTAGAACAACTATAGTTATTGTAAAATATTACCATTTTAAGACTAATAACTTTAAAATTAAATATTAAAAAAAATATTTTTTAAAATTATGAGACCAAATTAAAATCTTTTATAAATTAAAAACCAAAGTGGGTTTCCAATTTTTAGTTAATGATATCCATGTCAAAGTCATGTAAAGTACGTCACAAAAGAAAAATTACCGGAAAAAAGAAAAATCTATGGAATCCATCAAATCATATTATTATTATTTCTATGGGTTCATTTGTGTCTTGTCCCAATTAATGATTTTGAGATGGGATAATTTTTATGCTAAAAATTTTTAAGAATGAATAAAAACAGGACAGGAAAAAAAAAATCTTAAGATAAGGTTGTCTCGATTCCATCCTCGGCGGGACACCAACTACTACTTCTTCAGCCTTTTTAGCTATATTTGGATTGTCATTAGAGAAGCCAAAAGCGTCTGGAGAAAGATGTAACTGAGGTTACTGGTTTATTTGAGTAAAAATGATTGTTTGGATGTGCTGTTTTTAAAACTGACTTACAAGCAAAAGTAGTTTATTTTTCGACGTTATCTGGATGAGCTTCTCTATCCGTATCAAGTAAGATTTTTCGTCAACTTGCTGTGAAGCCACGTATGCACTATACTTGAATTACAATGACATTAAGAAACGATATAGTCAAACTTTGGGCTTTCCAGAATGAAAATATATTGAAAATTTGAAATTAAACTACCAAACACCATAGAAAAGCAGCTTGAAACAATAACGACCATATCACAAATTAAGAACCCTGTGCTTATCATCTTAATAAGTACGTTAAATTCATCATATCTGAATCATCTATTCTGACTTGAATAGTCCATATTTAAAATCTTTAATTAATTATTTTTAGATAAAATTATTTTTTGAAATAATAATAGTTAAAAATTATCTTTACTTTAATTCTATATATATTAAAATAATTTTTTTAATTAAAATAAAAAAAAATCAATTTAGACTGTCTAAATAAGATATGAACGATCTAAATTTGAATTTGATGAGATTAAGGTCACCGGTTCTCACACAAATTAATCAATCACAATCTTTCCATGGGTAAACATTATGTCAACCTATCCAATGCTAGCGTGAGTAAATAATGTTAAAATTATAAAGATTCATATTGTCGGGTTTGAAGTAATAATAAATGGACTAAAAATTAGATAAAAGATGGAAAAAGTCATCTAATCACTTTTTTTTTTAACGCTAGAAAAAAAAAATTGTAACAAAAGCCTTATCTTTCTCAAGTCAAACATACTCCCGGATCCTTAATATAGGACCCAATTCTTTAGTTGGCTTTGGTCCTAATATAAGACCCATTTATTATATTTATCAATTTTCTAAATTATCCCTTTGGATACTCCCTTCAACCATAATTAAGTAGAAGAAGGAGAGGGGGTATTAAAAGATGATTATGGTGTTTTAGGAAAAATGTGTCAATTTTCTTATAATTAACTAACTTACTAACTTCCTTAATCTAATCAAATTAGTTAAATGGGTCTTATATTAAGGACCGAAGAGTATTATTTAATCAGCCCCAGTCTACAAATACATAGATAATCTATTTGACATGTGGAGGCATCCCAGATCATTTGACTTCAATCTTTCGCTAGTAAAATTTTCACAGCGAGTAGTTAATCCTTGGCAACTTCTTGTTCTTTAGATGATTTTACATAAATAAATTTAAACCGTTGAAATCTAATTTCAACAGATGATAATTATAAAATATTATTAAAATATTTATTAATAATAATTTTTAAATTCAATTTTAGCAATTTAAATTATTTATATGTTTTCTATGTAAAATTAAAAATCGTTTTTTGAAATATTAAATCTGATCAACAAAAATTTTGATTCGCGCTGACGAAAGAAAAGGAGGAGAAGAAGACGCCCATTCCAATATATATACATGTATATTTATTTATATACTCCTCCGATCCTTAATATAGGACCCAATTGATGAGTTGATTTTGATCCTAAATATAAGATCCATTTCTCATATTTATCAATTTTTCTCTAAATTACCCTTATGGATACTCCTTCAACTATAACCAAGTAGAAGAGGAAGATGAGGTATTAAGAAAGATGATTATGGTATTTTAGAAAAACGTTTCACATTTTTTATAATTAACTAACTTACTATAACTTCTTAATCTAATCAAATTAGTTAAATGGGTTTTATATTAAGGATCAGAAGAGTATTATATATGCTTATTTCGATGATCTCTCCATCACTATAAACCACGGTACATCTTCTTCTTCTTCCCCAATTTTCTTTTTCCTGCTGCAACTCTCACTTGCAGCAACCTTCACCTTCGCCTCTGGTGAAGTGGCTTTCAAGGATGGCTTGAAAAACTCCATTGAACGCAGACTCCCCCATGCTTCAGGCCTGAAAGCTTCGCCTTTGACTGTCTCGGCGAGGGGCCATATACTGGTATATCAGATGGGAGAATTCTCAAGTGGCAAGGAACTCACAAAGCATGGGTTGAGTTTGTGTCACCTCACCAAACAGGCAAGATTCTCAACAATTCAGAATTTGAAGCTATCCATAAAATTTTGACTTGGAATGATCTGTAATTAATATTGATCATCTACATACGTGCTGGATATCGAAACCTCACAACTGTATTGGGTTTGGCTCGTTTGTAGAAGTGTATATAATGTGTTTCGTAGTTTGAAGTGTAAGTTTTGGAGCCTTACCCTTCAGAACTCTTTAATTTACACAACTTGAAAGGCCACCAGATAACATCAAGAGAAACAAAAATGGAGATTCCTGGGTGGATCTGAACAGTAACAGAAAATCATCGTAAAATGCTAAAAATAATAATGAAAGCTTAGGAGATGACCCTATGGGAGTGAAGTTTGATGAGAAGACAAAGACTTTGGTGGTTTTGGATGGAAGAGGAGGTTCAGAGCTTGAGTCTGTGAGCGAAGTGAGCGAACCTTATGGGAAATTATGGATTAGGTCTGTTACGTTAACTAAGATACTTCTCTAATTCTAAATATAAGACCTATTTTGTAGTGTAAATTACACTAAAAAATCGGTCTTAAATTTACCCTACAAAATGAGTCTTATATTTAGGATTAGAGGAGTATAACTTAAAGTAAACAAGTAATAACGTTTCTGAGCTTGCTTTGAATCTAATAGATGTTCACCATATTGAAATTGCTTTTTTTTTTTAATCTTCTACGTTTTCTAATAATTTTGAATTTTTTATTATTATTGTAAATGGGTTGTCTCACGATGTGATGCTTTGAATGAGAATTTAGTCACATGATTGTGTGGTGTCGAAGAATATATATATGTGTGTGCGCCGCGCGCGCGCTCAAGTTAGTTTGATTCCCTCATTTTAATATAATTAGTCATTTGTAACTAGCATATTAAATAGTAGTGCTGCTCTTTCATAATTATTCTTAACATTTAATTTGATTTATAGCTTTTTAATATTAAGAAAAAAAGGAATGCCAGGTCCCTGATATAGAAGCGCTAGTTAGGATTGTATTTGTTTCTGAATATAAAAATAAATCCACTTTATTTTTCATATTCATATTTTTTCCAAATTAATTCATTAACTAATAATGTGATATATAATCTATGTGTTATATGTATTTTGGAAAGGTCATCATATTATATTTGTAATAATTAACTAATTTATCTAATTTTTTTGATCTACACAAATTAATTTAGTAACTCTCTTTTATATTATAGATATGAATTTAATTATGAGCATTTTGATAAAGAAACATTTAATTTTGGAGACAAATGGAAATGTTCACATATTAAAGACAATACAGAGCCAAAATTGAGTCTATTTGGTTCAGCTATTTTGGTTACATTTTTCAATTGGTCCATTTTTTTTCTAAATTATTTTGGTGTATTTAATTTGTTTTTGTTTTTGAGTATAAAAAATGGAAATAAATTGAATCCCTAAAATTATTATGAAACATATTTTTTTT